GGAAAGAAGGAGAAGAAAAAAATGAAAAAAAAAAATATTTGCCGAGTGCCCAGATCTAGAACACTCGGCAAAGTTAAAAAATATTTTTTTTCTGGGAAAGATAGAGAAGAAAAAAAATAAAAAATAAAATCTTTGCCGAGTGCCAAGATCTAGGACACTCGGCAAACGAAAAAAAAAATCCTTTTTTAACCCCAGCGCCGCGGGCTCCCCTTCTCCCTGCGCCGTCCGTACGCCCCCTCCCCTTCTCCGCGCACGGGCACGCGCCCCCCTCCCCGCGCACCTCCCTCGCGCCGCCCCCTCCTCCCTCTCGGGCCCGGCGTGGCCCCGCCCTCCCCTCCTTCTTCTCCGGCGTCGGCGCGGTCTGCCCTCCCCTCCTCCCTCGCCGGCGCACCTCCCTCCCTCCTCCACCGCCTCCACCAGATCCAACCTCGGCTCGGGCGGATCCGGCGACGGTGGCGCATGGGGAGGCCGGATCCGGCCCCGGCGCGGCCGCCCCCTCCTCTCCCTCTCTTCCCACCGCCGGCGCCCCTCCCCCTCCTCTCCTCCTCTCTCTCTCCCCGGGCGGATCCGGATCGTGCCCCCCTCCTCTCCTCTCTTCCCACCATGGCGCCCTCCCCTCCTCTCCTCCTCTCTCCCCCGGCGGGATCCCGTGGCAGCCCCTCCTCTCTCCCTCTCTTCCCCCACCGCCCCCCTCCCCCTCCTCTCCTCCTCTCTCTTCCCAGCGAGGATTCGGTGGCACGCCGCCCCCTCCTCTCCCTCTCTTCTTCCGCCGCGCCCTCCCCTCCTCTCCTCCTCTCTCTTCCCCAACGGCAGATCCGGCCCGGCCGCCCCCCTCCTCCTCTCCTCTCTCTTCCCAAGACAGCAGATCCGGCCCGGCGCCCCCCCCCTCCTCTCCTCCTCTCTCTTCCCGACGGCAGATCCGCCCGGCCGCCCCTCCTCTCCCTCTCTTCCCGGACCAGCGGCGCGCCTCCTCTTCTTCCCCGGCGTGGCGGGTGGTGGCGTGCTGGTGGTGGGCGGTGGTGGCTCGTGGCTGCCGGATCCGGGTGACTTTTTTTTGTGGCTTTTTTTGTGGTGGCTTTTTTTTATTTTTCGAAAAAAATGTTTGACGAGTTTATTTTGGGCACTCGGCGAAGTCTTTGCCGAGTGTCTGACAAAAAACACTCGGCAAACTCTGTTTGCCAATAAAAATTCACCGAGTGTCGTTTGCCGATACTCGGCAAACCCTTCGCCGAGTGTTTTTTAGGCTTTGCTCCTGATTCCCGTAGTGGATCCGGGTGGCGACTTTTGTCGATCAATCCTTGTTCGACGCTGCCGTTCAGCCTGGACAACGACAGAGGGGCTCCCTGGTACTTTGCCGGAAAGTCATGGAGCCTTGAAGGGAACACCTCCTGGATGGCCTGGATCACCTCGGCGGAACACCGGATAGGGGTGATTGTGCATTTGTCCAGTTGGTGGATAGGCGAGACGCTTCGAGCAAAACAGCTCCGTGATGTAGCGGATGCAGGAGAAGTCTTGCGGCGTGGGCGCGAGGAAGATGACGAGGTCCTCGGCGATACCGAGGCGCGATAGCGATACTTGATCGTGTTGCCCGCGGCGAGTTAGGACAGCGCAACGATCCGCCTTCGGAGATAAGCGCGTTCGAACTTCCATGACAATTCACGAATAGGAGAGGCGACAGAGGGTCGCCGCCATAGGTCATGAAGCGCAGCGATGCGCCGGCCAGAAAGGCCGTTGATTTAGCACCTTGGTGCTCGCCGTTCTCAAAGATCGCCGATAGCCGATCGCGTCACCAGCGTAGAAGCCGATGTGCTCGAGCACCTCTAGCGAGAACGGCCAGCCACGTTGTCAAACACCTTGGCCAGTCGACTTTGAGGAATACCGCGGGGTGGTGCACGGCATGCGACCAAATGACAAGAAAGCTGCACGCGGTGCGGAAGTTTTCATGGATGCGGCGGCCCGGATGAACGCCGATCGTTGATCTTGACGATCTCCGGCGACGAGGTGCAAGACGCCGAGCTAGCGCCTTTAGCGAACATTTTGCCAACGGAGTGGATTAGGGCGATAGGCTCAGAATCCTTGAGGCCATCCGAGCTGCGTCTTTATGGATGAGCACCATGATCGCTTCATTGAGCGGTAGAAACTTCAAATCAATCTCCCGGAGACTGGAACACCAGGATGATGTCCGGACCAACGATGTCCCAGCCCCTAAAGAAGGCGCCGGGGAACCCATCAGGCCCGGTGCCTGTCACCCGCGAGTCCCGAACGACCCACGCCACCTCCTCCGCCATAAAAGGGGCCGCTGCTCATCTAGGTTCAGCCGTGGAAGGTCCAACTCGACGGATCGATAAGGTGTTGCCTGGTGAATGCAGTGCCAAGGAGCCCATTGTAGTAGTCGAAGACGATGTCGGCCTTGGCATCCTCCTCGCTAAACGTTTGTCCATTGTGTGTTAAGGCGAAGAGGTTGTTCTTGCGGCGGCGGTGACATGCCTGCAGGTGAAAGTGTCACTTAATCTCCTGTATCTCTTGTGTCAATGCGCGTAGTAGGTGAAGGCGGTGTCGAAAAGGGCTTCCTGCTGTGCACTGTAGCAGCTGCAGGGTAGACGTCGAATGGTTCATCTGCCGCACTATAGTCACAGCAGGGGCAGGTGTCAAAGTCAGCTCTGCTGTCACATCTAGTCACTGTAGCATCATAACAGCTGTACTAGGACTAGATGAATAGAGTTGTATAAATAGTTTACCGCTGCAGCTCAGTAAAGAGAGTTCAAATTTGCCATCTCCTATATAGAGCTTCGACCAACGCTGGTGTCTCTGCTGTGTGTGTATGCTCTGATCTCCCTCCCTCCCTTCCTCTACCTTTAGCCATAGTGTGTGATCGATATCGCTAGTGTGTGCTCGATAACACTAGAGAATGGTCGGATATCTCCATACCGGAGATCGACGGGACAACAGAAAGTACTTCGTGCAGGCGTCTCCTTCCCGAAGATTCCTCGTTCTGGTGCGCTGCCTTGCCATGGTTCGTTCATGGGATGCCAGGCCGAGGATGTTCGCCTTGAGCTCGCGACGCAGCTCCAGCTCACCGAGCGACAAAAGCCTGGACTCTTGCGCAAGGTCGAGTTCGTAGACGACCGCACAGGCTGCAACTAGCTGCAACCGGACATTCCCGACGCAAGAGGCGCGCCAGCTACGAAGAGCCTTGGGCAACGCGCGCAGTTTGTGGTCTAGGCACCGACAAACATCAGCGTCGACAAGGCGGCCACCCCAAGCGGCTTTGACCACGTCAACGAATCCCTCGATCCTCGTCCAGTGCTGGTCGAACCGGAAACGCGGTCTCGCCCATGGCACGGAGTTGAGCACGAGGAGTAGCGGTGCGTGGTCAGAGCAGTCAGAGGAGAGGCAGCGGAGGTGGTGGCAGGAGAATTGCTCGATCCACTCTACCGAGGCGAAAGCCCGGTCAAGGCGTTCCAACGTCGGGCGGTCACGGCCGTTGGACCAGGCGAATAGCCGGCCGGAGAGGTGTAGCTCTTCGAGTTGCAGGTCGTCGATGACCCCGCGAAATCTGCGCATGGTGCCGTGGTCTAATCTGCCACTGTTTTTGTCACTGGCTTTCGCCTTGGCTTATAAGCCGTACTTTTCAGTCAACAAACACAGCCAACAGTACTTTCAGCCATGGCAAGCGAACAGGGCATTTGTAGATCAAGTTGAAATCACCACAAAGTAGCCAACAAGGACCCGGAGAGGCAGCGCGGACAGCACGGATCTCCAGGAGGAAGTCGGGCTTATCTGATCTAGCCGTTGGGCCGTACACGTTAGTGAGCCACGCCGGGTCCGTTAATCGGAGTGAGCTCTATAGTGATCGAGAACCGGCGCACGAAGGGGGCAGACGCGCGCCACAGGTCACGATGCCAAGAGACGACGGCTCCATCGGCGACGCCGATAGCCGGGAGGCACACATAATCAAAGTCGATCCCTGTTATTTCATGATGCAAGGTTACACTGAAGTTCGCAACCTTGGACTCCTGCAGGCAGACGATCGAAGCTCGCTGCTGGACGACAATGTCTCTAACGACACTGCGACGTGCACGACTGTTCAAGCCGCGTGCATTCCAAACTAGTAGGTGGTTGGCACTCATGGCGGAACGATGTTTAGGCGACGGTTCTGTGGCGATCAGAACAGCCTTGCCGCGGCCCGCGCACCGCGGCCGGCGCGCCTGGGGAAGAGCTCGCGCATGGCGGCCCTTTTGGAAGACGACAGCGGTACCATGAAGGTGTCGTGGAACTTGGAGTCAATCGCCGCGTCAGGCGTGGTGGACGGCACATCCTCCGGCTTCCGCGTCCACTTGCTAAGGAGAACGCGCTTTGCCTGCTTCCCAGGCTGCGGATCTTGCCAGGTGCTGATGCAGCTGTGCGGCCGACATGTGTAGCCTGCTGAGGCGTCGAGCATGAAGCTGCCTGAGCAGGCGTAGGTCCGCCGGCCGTCAGCGTCGGGAGGCTGGCGGGAGGCAGCAAGCTTTGGCTCCTCTCCCAATTGAGAAGTGCGAGGATGGAGCACACGGGATTAGGAAAAGGCGAAACGGACCGACACAGTCACGTGCGGCACCTGGCTCCATTCTGCAGGCGATGGGCTACAAAAGACTGGGCTAGACACCTGGTTCAGGTGCTATCTGGCTGGGCCGACTAGGGCCATGTCATAATATTTGTAGCTGGGCCATTAATAAAAAATAAATAAAGAGGCTATAAGGGGGGATTTGGACCACTAGACCCAAATCCACCCTGTGTCCTCCGACGCCATGAAATTCCGTGAAGTCTCCATAGGTTCGTGCTAAAGATTCAATTTTGTTGGTCCCTTTTGATCCGACATGATCCTGATACCCCCATTCTGAGGTAGGAGCCTTGCTCTTGCTGTTTTTGATTGGTGTCTCTTCCCTTCCATGGGGTTTTGCAGGTGTAGGAATCAGTGCATTAACCGGCGGAGAGCAAGTGGGTGCTGCGACTGCGCGAGCATGGCGGGCGAGGAGGCCACGGAGGGCAGCGGGAGGAGGCACATGGATCTAAACCTGCATGTCGGACTCCCTCCATTGCCACGGCCTCGAGTCAGGCTAGACACTTCGGCGGCTTCCCCGGCGTTGATGCCCAACAGTGCTGCGCCAGAAGCTCCAAGAACCAGCGAGCCCGAGGGATCACTCGCCCCGGCGGCGGCGACCTATTCTCCGTCGAATGTGCTCTCCGCCCTGGAGGAGCACCCAATGCTTGATCCCGTTGTTTATTCCTGGCTCGACGGCAACAGTGCCGGCAGTGAAGAGTACACTGATGCTCCTGAGTCGTCGGCGCCAGCGCCGGTGGATGGTCTTCTGGTAGCAAGGTCTGTGCGACCTAGCCGGGTGGCTGCTGCTACCGGAATGGAGATGGTGAACACAAGCACACTTGGGCAGTCCACTCAAGGGGCTGCTGCAACTGCAATTGAAGCAGGAGCTCCCGAGCTCCGCTTTCTGAGGGTGATACAGATCAGCCAGCAGCACAACATTGTGAGGCCAGGATCAGCTAACCTCAGTCAAAGCTCTTTTGAAGCTGCGAGGGGGCAAAATCCGGATGGCGGCGACAACTCCAGCTTTGAGTGTAACATCTGTCTTGAGCTGGCTAGACAACCCGTGGTTACATCTTGCGGCCACCTCTTCTGCTGGCCATGCTTGTACCAGTGGCTCCATGCACAATCATCCTCCTTTGAGTGCCCTGTCTGCAAGGGCGAGGTGTTAAAAGGGGATATCACTCCGATATACGGAAGAGGCGGTGAAGAAGAAGGGGGCTCCACTGCCAATCCTGACTTGCCGCCCAGGCCGCAAGCACACAGAAGGGAGAGCCTGAGGCGGCAGCTGCAAATGGCGGGAACGGAGGGGAACGCAAGAGAAATGGCAAGGGTGCTGAGGCAGATGTTTCAAAACCAGAACCAGGGTTGGGATGCAACCCCAGCGGGAGTCGAGACGACTTCGGTTCCTGCAGCCCGGCAAAGGGCTGGCGCTCGGAGACAGCAAAGGCAGGATAACCATGCTGCACAGGTGGTTCTTGTAGCTCCTCAGCAGTCATCGTCTGTGGAACGGCTATCAACTTCTAGCACTGCAGCTGCTGTAGTGGGCGAGCCTGGGCCAAGTAGTCGGTTAAGAAGGCCTTCGGAGTCTCCAACCATAAGAAGGACAAGGAGGAGGCCACAGTAGGTACCAGAGTGTTGTCACTCCCTTCAAAAGAACCTACAGACCATGCCCCGGTGTTAGTTATTACCCATGATTAGCTCCGTAACATGTTCTGTATAATCGGAGTATATTTTCTGGTTTAGCCTATGTGTCTGGTATGATATGTCATTATAACTTCCCTGATGTGGTTATTCCTGAGTTTTCAACATAGTTATTGCTCAAAATTGCAAGCATGTACTATTAGCAAACTATTCTTGCGAAAAAACAATTATTGAGTCTGCTTGGGGGTCTCTCTGCTTCTGCTCCAATTGCTAGTGTCATTGTGACTGAGCAGCACAAAAGTAGTGATACCAGAATCATGTTGCCTTGTTATGCCACTGGGTATTTGTACTCAAAATTGCCACTGAGTAGCACAGGGAATTTATTGTGACTGTGTGGTACTGTGGTCAACCGTATCATTCCTCGTTCTGCAAAAGTTGCCTTGTTATGCCACTGGGTATTAGTACACAAAACTTATACAGATGTGATACTGCAAAATACGAGCACTCCTTTTTGCATTTTGTCGCAGCAGTTAGGTATTTTTCTTTTTGGCATTCTATAACTGGATAGCACACAACTAGGTTCTCTGATATATAATTCAAAGAACCGGTGTATGTTTACTTCAAAGGCTCAAAAAGAGAAGGGACCCTTAGTTTTAGCACAATCTTTCATTCAACATTCACCTATAATCAGTCCAAAATAGATTTATATGGCAAATGAAGACGATCAAATCAGTGGGGTATTTTCCATTTACATGTCATTCGCCGACCTGAACATTCAGAAAGATTACATCACACATCCTCATGATAACACTGACGACATTCTTTGTGGCCTACTAGCTGTTCACATTCTTTGTTGACGCAATGAGCTCAACAGCAAATTATTTGGAATGGTTGGCCAAGTTCACATCATTGGTGAAATTGTTTTGTGTTTGTTTTGATTCCATTCACTACCCTTCCATATGGAGAATTCGAGCATGTTTGATTTGTGTATAGGCAAAAGGCACATGGAGTTCTGTGTTCAGTTCTGCAACCAGAGAATAGCACTTGTTTATTCAGCTTTATTCTGGCAAAGCATGTGCAGACTGCAGAGGGATGCTTCTACTGCTTTCTCATATGTATAGCTAGTAGCCTAGCACCTTAAAAGTGTTGCAGGAGCAAGGTCTGCAAACACTGTTACCAGTAGCAGCACAATGACATATTCAGGATGTGTAGCATGTCGAGTGGCATGATAAAAGACAATGGCTTCCTTTTTTGTTTGAGCGACTGTATTCCATCTTTTGTACTTGAAATGAATGCAGCATTGGATGACAAATATGATACCAATATTAAGTTGAATCAGTTGAATACCTTCCGCATGAGAAAAATGGAACATTTTCAAAATTTGGAATATGCACAAGTTTCGTATACCTTGCAGTTCTAAAACTGTTCAGGATGTATCTCCCCAATTGATTTGTGCAGATATTGGGATTACTGTGCAAAAAATGATCGCCAGAAGACATGTGCTGCAACATGTTGTCCACAAGTTCTCTAATGATTTTTGCATGACAAAATCCAGCAGTGGTTTTCCTTGAAAGCACCAACACACATAGAGCATTAGATCTTGAACTGTTCAATAAGTCTAAGAAGGCTATATGTCTCAGCATCAGGCATTGCCCCTCTCAAAATCATTGTCCTCAACAAATCTGGCTCATAAACTTTTGCCTTCACATAAGCTTTCAGGAGAGTGTTATACACAAAGGAATTCCGAGAATATTTTGATTCATTCAGTTCACTGTATAGTCTCTTTGCATTTTCCAAGTCTCCAATTTCTGCAAAGTTCTCAAGCAACAGATGTGTGGTCTCCAACCACGGTGTTGAACTCCTCACCTTTTTAGTGACAACTTCCTTCTTTCCCATATCTATTGTGTTCAAAGCTTCTTTAACAAGACCCGATTTCAAGCAACCCAATGCTAAGTGGCGATAAGTAATAGCATTAGGCTGGCATCCGTTTGCTCTCATTTCCTTGAATATAGATGATGCTTTATCCACAACACCGTGCCTACAGTAAACTGATAAGATGGAATTGAACTGTTCTGTAAGGCTTAACTTCTTTGTTGATTTTATCTGGACCCATATCTTCTCTGCCTGATCAATGGAACCAACCTTTCCAAATGCTTCTATTGCTAGTGTGAAGCTTTTTGATCGAATATGAGGGAGGTCTTGCATGATCTCCCATGTCCTCTTTAGCTCCTTTTCCTTCCCAAGGTATCCATACAAGATAAGAAGAATTTCCAGCGTGGACCAATTAGTACCTATCATGGAATTCTCAATGGCTTCTACATATGTGTGGCAAACAGTATATAGCCTTGCAACAGCATGTGCAATAGCTAGAATGCCATAAGTGATCTCATTGGGCTCAATCTTTGCTCTTTTCATATCATTGAACACCCTGGCTAGCCCGTCGATGTTGTGTTCATTGGCTTGTATTTTCAACAGGATGTTGTAGGTTGACGTGTGAGGGATCACACGGTCAGCTTTCATCTGAGAAAGGATTTTGGATATAGTTTTCCTGCGATTGGGTGATGAGTGAAGGATGATGAGGCGGTTGTAAACATACGTCGAGATCGGCAGGGACAATTCTCTAATCTTCCTCATGTAAGCGTATGAATGCTTAATGAGATCCAGATCCAAAGCAGCCATGACAAGGTTGTTGTAGAGGAGCTCTTTCTGGTATTCCTGAGGCACGCGAAGGAAGAGGCTTTCGGCTTCAGAAATGCCATGGACTTTAGCTGTGAACTCCAGCAGATACGAGTAATCAAGCTCACTCAGCTTGTAGGGCCTCTCTCTCACAATCCATTCCATGACCTGTGGGAAAAAAAAGGAAAAAAAACTGTCATATCCTGAGCAAATACTAGAAGGCAAGGACTAGGGGATCTTATGTCTATTTTAATTACCACTGCTCGGCACATTGTTCAAGCACAAATAAAGAGAAGCTAGTTCTATGGTGATGAGCTAACTAGAAGGTGGAAGTGAACTAGTACCATTCAAATAAGCTTTCCACCACATTTGTGAACAAGTACAGAGATCAACAGTTCAGCACAATACAAGAGCACTAACAGAAGGGAGAGCAAAGAAACATGGAAATTTCATGTCACTGCACAGCTCAACTCGCGTCAATCACCAAGGAAAGCTCTCATGAACTGGCAGAGGCGAAGTGGGGAAAAGGGGGCACCTGCAGGGCGGTGCGGTGTAGACGGTGTCGTCGGAGGCGGTTGATGGCGTGGAATACGTGGCCGCGGTGCACGGCGCGGCCGTCGGCCATCCAGCCGCGCCAACCGACGCCGCCCGCTCCACCCGCCGCGCCAGCGAGCCCTCCTGCCCTGGCTCGTTGCGGGGGCCCTCCGCCCCAAGATGAGGAGGAGGCGCGGTGGCGTTGCTTCCGGAGCTGGTGAAGAATCCTGCGGCGGGGACGGGGAGCGGCGGCCGCCGGTACCGGAGCAGCAGCATCACGGCTTCGCAGAGGGGGAGGCCCCAGTACGGCAGGGTGGGGCGCCTGTCTCGCCTAACGCCGAGCGCCCGAGTCGTGGCCCAACTTCGATCGGTCGAGGAGCCCATCATCAGCCCAAGTTCCCAACACAACAACATAGCCCATCAACCCACCCGGCCCTCTCACACTCTGTCGCTCGTTGCGCCGCTCGCACAGTCGCACTGGCATCAGGGCGCTGCTCCGCCGCCGGCCCGCCCCTAGACGCTGCAAGCTGCACCGCCGCGTAGTGGCTGCCGGCGTGGGTCGCGCCGACCGGCCGTCGCGCGCCATCCTCGTCGGGTCGGGACACTGGGAGATGGCCACGCCGGCGGTCAGCATCATCCACGGCAGCAACGACACCATCCATGACTTGTATGGATTTACCAAGGCCATGTACGAGGTTCGTCCGCTAGCTCGATGCCCCCTCCCAACCATGCTCCCCCCTACCCCCACTGAATCCGTTTTTTATTGAGTGAACCCCCACTGAATCCGTTGGGACGGGGAGGCTCTCGTTTGAGATGAGCCAGCGCGTCGAAATTGAGGTTTACATAGGCAACAATGGAACTCGTTTGGATTTATGCGAGTTCTTGTCTTCCTCTGCGTTTGGGAAAAGATCAAAACTGGAAGTTTCGCCATTCCTATAGAACAGCTAATGGCAGTTGATTTTATGGTTTTACTAATTGATTGTTACAGTTTGTTGTTAGTGGTATGTCTTGTCATGGTTGTATTATCACATATATGGCCCCGTTCGCTTCGCTGAAAAAACAAGTCGAAATACAGTTCCGGCTGATTTGTTGAGAGAGAAGACGGAATATAAGAGAAGCGAACAGGGCCTAATCTTATATTATACATTAACCGATATGTTCTTTAAATTTATAAGTTTGTTAGATCTTGGACAGTTAGATCTTGGTTACTTGGTGCATGTTGAATCAGTGAATTATATTAAGGTGCTCCTGTTTTGATCATCTCGGAACCCTTTGATGTATTGCAGCCCATCGTCGTCCGGCTCGACGAAGTGTTCTCGGCATAGTGGTGTTCTGGCGTCATGATCTCGGCCGGTTTCTACTCGTGGTAAGGTAGAAAGGCCACAATTTCTATTGCTCATTCTATTGTGTGCTTGCTCTCTAGGATGCTCCTCATCTCTATATTGTGCTCATTTATATCTCTCTCTCTACTCATCGTGCAGCGAGCTGAGGCTTGTGAGATGACGGTTTGGTCAGTTGGGCAGAGTAGAACCCGGGGCCAAGCCTGCGGGTATGGATAGGCCAAGCCTCACAAGTGACACTTATTTGTTTGTGGTCAGTGTTAGGGGGAGCAATGGTTTTTTGCAGTTGACTCTCAGTGACCGAGGGAGTTATTTGCAGTGCCTATAGTTTCTGTCAGTGTGCTCTTGTGTTAGTGGATCTCTCTCATGATGGCTGGGACCAAGACTTTAGGCCCTCATCCAAGGGGCGATGATGGTGACAGGCCGCCTCGTCCTCCTAGACAGGACAAAGGCAAGGCAGTGGAGCAGCCGCGTCAGAAGAAGCAGAAGCACCCCGACAGACAGACACAACAGTCTATTGAGGTTGCAGCAACAACAAAGGCCGCAAAGTGTGGAGGCAACAATGGTGCTCTCAGGATTGGTGGCTCTGGACCGCACTCTACTCAGCCACTCCGTCGGTCTCCTCGTGGACGCCAGATTCGCTTTACCCGACAGAGCCTCAGCAGCAGCCGGAGCCTGGCTTAGGCAGCAGGTCGCATCACAGAGCGCGGGACGACTCAGATGTCCCACCTACAGAGGCAGAGGAGGAGAGCAGGTCGCGCTGTAGAGGGCAGGACGATGCAGAGGTCCCACCTACAGAGGAGGAGGATGGTCTGCCACCTTGCCACGTCGACCTCCGTGGTGCTTCAACTAGCAGAGTCAAGCGATACCGTCTTGCCTCACTTGACCAGTGGTTCCCCGAGCAGCGGGATGTCAGGGCAGGTGATAGCTTTTACACTACTCTCCAGGCCTCTTTCTTCAGGACCTTTGAGTCAGAGAGGATAGCATTGCGCTCTCACAGGCTCTTGCAGTTGGGTTTCTTGAGAGCTGCAGCTGGTTCAGAGGAGATACAACAACACATTGAGTACCTGCCTGGCTTAGAGGCGCTTGTGACAAGACCAGGGCTGTACGTGGAGGAGTGGGTCAAGATTTTCTACTCTACAGTTTGGATTGACCCCGACCACAAGTTCATACAGTTTATGTTCAGAGGGGAGGTTTACAGACTTTTGACTCGAGAGATCCGAGAGACTTTCGGCTTTGTTCAGTCAGAGACTAGGATCCACAGTTTGTGCTATGGTACAATAGACCCCCCGAGACGCCCTCACGGCGGAGTGTGTCCACCAGCAACTCATGTGGCAGCTCTGTTCCGCCCACCGTTCGGACCTGAGTCCCGTCGTACTCCAGATGACTTGACTCCAGTGGGTCGGGTCCTGAACGCGGCGATGAGGATGACTCTACTTCCTAGGGTTGGCTTCAAAGAGGCGTTGACCAACATACAACAATGGCTTCTTGGTGCTCTTGCCTCTCACACCGTCTTCGATGTGGCAGACTTTCTATTGTGTGAGATTGAGGATGCGATCTCCGACGGTTTTCGTATGAGACGTCAGCTGCCCTACGCTCACTACTTGTCACACATGTTCGTGCAAATGATTCAGCACCCGAGGCACGTTAGCACCCTTCAGGCATCTTCTCAGCATTTTGGAGTTTACAGACCTACTCACACCGGCGACGCTCGCCGTGGCAGCAGGGTTCTCAGAAAGGTTCGCAGAGGCTTGTCAGCTGAGGAGAGAGAGGAGCAGGAGGAGCAGGACGAGGCTATTCGTCAGGATGAGCACGAGGACTTGGCACACTTGTTCAGCGAGGACCTACCTTCTAGTGACAGCTCTGATGATTTACTTTAGAGTCCCTTCACCTCCACCCTCCTCGAGAGCACACGACGCAGAGGCTGGGGGCTCTGGCTCAGGCAATGCACAGGCTGGTGGCTCTGGTTCAGCAGCAGACACCTCTCGAGATCAGTGGATCCGAGAGATGTTTGAGCGCCAGCAACAGGCCCATGAGAGACAGCTACAGGCCCAGGCAGCAGCACACGAGCAGATGATGGCCTTGATCTCTGGACTCTCAGCTCGTCAGGACCAATTCCAGGCACAGTTAGCTCAGGAGAGGCAGACAACACAGTGCTTACTCCAACACCTCCTTGGACAATCATCCTTGGTTCCTCCTGTGCAGCAGGCTCCAACTGCTCCACTCCAAACACCTGTAGTCCCAGCGTTACAGTCTAGTGGACTTCTTGGACAGGGTGGTTTCGTTCAACAACAGTTCGTGTCCCCGTTAACCGAGTTCCCATGTGCCTTCACTACACCGGGTTCGGGTGTGCCACAGGGTTTCGCTGGCTTGTCTCAGTCCGCTCCAGCAGCTTCTGCAGGACAGACAAAGTCAGTGTTGGCTTCCACATCAGCAGCTACCGCCTCTTGTAGTCTCTCAGCTACTTTCAATGAGACCATAGGCTTGCCTACTTCATCAGCGACAGCTAAGGCACCTGTGACAGCCTCAGGAGCTATAGAGTCCGCCTCCACAGAGACTGTACCTTCTTCGGTAGGGTCATCCCAGCAGTAGATCCCACTGAGTCAGCCTCCTCCAGCTAGTTTAGTTTCAAAGGATAGCTACTGAGACTGAGGAGACTATGATGATAGCAGAGGCCGACGACGACCAGGACGCTTCACAGTTCCACTTCGCTCAGCGTACTTCTTAGCCTGGCTCGTCTGTGACTACCCCTCCAGCCGACTCTTTGATTTTGGTGTTTGACCCAAAGGGGGGAGAGGAGAGTATGTGAGATAGGGGAGAGCTAGTGAGAGGAATTTGGATCTTTTGTGTGCTCTCTCATGCATCAAGTTCACATTGTGCATTGTATTTATGCTTATTTGCTTCTAGCTCGTACCTTATGATACTTTGTGACATGTATGTGCTCTCTTTTATCTTATATAGTTATATCAAGTCATGTATGTTGCTCGTCTGTTGTGCTTTCATTACATTCTATGTCAAATGAGTACTTTGTTTTGTACACATGCTTATTTCATGTACTTTGTGTACCTGATGTGGGCTTGCTCGCATGACCACGCTCTAACCCCTAAAAGGCAGAGGTGGAAGTTATCCACTATACTAAAAGCTAACTTGTGTATTTTGGTTGACAAAGATTGTATTCAACATCTAAATACCAGTGTTTCAAATCGAAAAACACAATTTGGCTCCCCTCTGAAAACTCCGAAATCGTGAATTCTGACTGAAATTTTTAACCCTGTTCTTTCCTACAGGAACTGGAATCCTACATTCTTTTTCCTGCAAGAATCCTTCAATCCAAAGGAGCCCTAGCAATGGTCACAACAAAGGGTGTAACAAGTGTTCTTTTACTAATGGCCCCTGGCCATACTTTCAAACGGCACTATTTGATTTAGGACATAAACATTCTTCTTAGAAAAAGATACAGAGAGATTCAAAAGTGCCATAAGAGGTAAGAGCAGTATCTGGAGAGCATGTAGGCGTATGCTGTGTCAATTTACCAATCAAGTATTATTGCTGATAGTGGTAGGTAGGGGTCTGAAAGGACAAGCCTCACGGTTGGTATTATAAGAAAGCTAGCTAGTCTTCTGAACCCTATAAAGGTGATTCTACTTCATCGCTTCATCAACTGATTGCAATCTAAGTTCAACAGACATAGCACTAACCATTGGATGTTGCATGCTCTTCCAGAATGAGGAAAATATTAGAAAAAGGGTGACCGAATCCATCTGGAACTTGAAATGAAAGGATAACCTCCATGCTAATCATGCAATGGTACACACGGTGGGGAAAAAAACATTGTTTGACTATTTCAAAAGGTGATGCACCTAATACTTGATAATAGCTGTCGTCCTACATTTCAGTAAGCAACTCTTCATAACATCAACATTTCTCATGGTCAGTTCTATGGACAGACACACATAACGATTAACATCAATTATGGAAGGCACAAAACATTAGATAGCTAATCCATAACTGCAAAGAATAATATGATATATAATTTATGCACAGAGAAATAGCATCAATTACCTCAGGCACAATACATTACATAATTAAACTATCGTTGAAGTACATTATGATTGATGCAGATGACTCTGTAGAAAGAGCAATTGACATCAACTGTCGCGGCACATGACATTACATGACTAATGCACCAGTGCAAAGTAAATTTTGATAGATATAGGCAACTCTATCTACAGAGCAATTAACATCAATTGTGAAAGGAACAAGGCACTGCATAGCTATGCACAACTGCAGAGTAAATTGTGATAGGTACATGTAACTCTATGCACAGACCAGTTAACATTGATTATGAGGTGTAAGGCAATGCGTAGATAGTACAAAATCGCAGAGCATATGTACAGATATAGTTAAGTAAAAGGCGGTGGAGTTGCCAACAGTCAAATTATGAGTTTCATGACGAAAGCTCGAACTTTTCTAGGTAGCAAGGTTGGATATGAGCATCTTCATGGAGCATCCGTAATTCTGTATCATCTAGAGAACATAAGAGAAAGCTCATAGTCTCTCCAATTTAACATAACCTCTTCAGCGCTCCTCTCATCAAAATATGCATTAGTCAAAATTGCACGTCCATGCAGTTTCAGATTTCTCATTTCTTATATTCTTGTATCTAAATGTCCATTCTCCCCTGTCTTCTCCACATAATGGCAATCAGATGTGATGAGGATTAAAGTTAAAGATAGCTGAGATGCCCTAAAGCTCCCAAGCAGGACCACAGGAACAACTGAGTCCAATCGGTTCTGAACCCAAGTAGAGAAGTCAAGAAACATGAGTGGGGATTCCATGAAGATAATAACTAAACAACTGCTGCCACTGATGACTCATCTTCCCAAATTTAGGTGCCCAAATCTGAGTTGCATGTCAACTGAGTAACTGACCCAAATGATCAAAATGAGCAAGATCAATAGAACAGATTTATGCAACATGCACCCAGCTACTCCGGGTACTCAGACCCCTTACCGCCATCATCTTTCTGCCACATCATTCTTGGTTTAACAATGTCAGCCAATTTCCAGGTTTTGACCTTTTCGGATTCATCTGTTATTCTTGGTTTAACATCTGGACTTCTGCTTGCATCCATAGGTGCCTGCGATTTTTAAACCTTTAGCAAACCTCCGTAATGAAGAGCAAGAGAGGATGGTAAAGGCAGAAGGAACTCACCAAGCCACTTGTCAGACACTGCAGGCAAGATCCGATCAGGTCGCTCGGCATTTACTGCTATAGGACTGCTGACATTTGAAACAGGAGCAAGGGCAACAATTGGAGGCTGCAGTAAAACCAAACGTGAGAATAAGGCAACAACAAACCTTGTCAATATTCACTAAATTTCCAGCACAAATTGAAAGCAAAAGAAGGCAGGTAAGTGGTGAAGTCCAGTCGGATGAATTACTTGACTACATAACACCCCTTCTGGTGTATCTTCCCAATGCACCAGGAGAAAGAAACAATTAGCTTTTGTCCACCACAATGTACAACAATTGTCAAGTAATTATGCCTATGACAGTAGCTAACCACAATTCCAGATGCAGAAAATAAGATACTCCCTCCAGCTCCAGTCAAAAATAAGTGACGTTTTGAGGTTCTCAGAAGTCAACCGTTCCAAATTGACTACAGAATACTAATTGCATGTAATATGAGTAGATACGTCTTGGAAAATAGTTTCAGAGAAGTTTATATTTGCTATATTTTACAGGTGTGTTATAAATAGAAGTCAAAATTTAGTATAGTTGACTTCAGAGAGCCCACTTATTGTTGCCTGGAGTGACTACTTGCCTAGGATAGACATGCTTGCCTGAGTTTTGTGGCAAATTGCAGCACTGAACAATCACCTTCTTTACTGGTACCACAAGAGATTAGTCCGCAAGAAAAAAATTGTAAGTGAACAGATGAAATGAGTGAAACTGAAAATTAATATAATTTGTTACTCATCAGCAGATATTAAACTCTATATTAACACTTGCTATGTCTCACCTTGTCCCATCAGCACTGTAAGATATTTCCAGGAGCATCATAGTCAACTCTTGAGCCCAAGCAATCATACAACCATGCTTTGATTTTTTCCATCAATGGCGGTAGAGAGATAAACTACAGAGCAAGACAAAGCTAAAATTAAGAAATACATATGACAGATGGCAACTAGTAACGATAAAATAAAGCTTTACGTATTAGTTGATACTAAATGGGACCGACAGAGCTAAAATCAGAACCTTTACGTATCAAACATTACAGCAATGGACATGGAGTAGTTGACACTAAATGGGACCAAGTACAGAAATCAGCAGAACACAGGAGCACTAACAGAAGGGAGACCAAAGAACCTGAAAATTTCATGTCACTGCACAGCTCAACTCGCGCCAATCATCAAAGAGCAAAGAAAGCTCTCGGCTGGGAATGCGATGAACGGGCAGAGGCGAAGTCGGGGGAAATGGGGCACCTGCAGGGCGGTGTCGTTGGAGGCGGTTGACGGCGTGGAATACGTGGCCGCGGTGCACGGAGCGGCCGTCGGCCATCATCCAGCCCCGCATGGCCGCGCCGACCGACGCCGCCCTCTCCACCCGCCGCGGCCAGCGAGCCCTCCTGTCCTGGATCCTCGCTTGCCCCCTCAGCCCGAGGAGGAGGACGAAGAGGAGGCGCGGTGGCGTTGCATCAGGAGCTGGTGAAGAATCCTGCGGCGGGGACGGGGGGCGGCGTCATTAGCAACGACATCATTCGTCCGCTAGCTCTCTCTCTCTCTCTCTCTCTCTCTCTCTCTTCCCCGTGAATCCGTCGAAATTGGGGGTTTGCATAGGCAACATTACAACTCGTTTGGATTTCTCAGCTAGTAGTTCTTTGTCTTCCTCTGCGCTTGGGAAAAATGTTAAAATTAGAAATTTCCCCACTCATATAGAACAGCTAGTGGCTTTAGCTTTTAGTATGGTTTTATTTACTAGAATTGATTGTAACAGTTTGTTGTTAGTGGTGTAATAAATAAATAAAATAAAATAATCAACGAGGCGTGCGCGCACGTTGAAGTCGCTGTCAGAGGCTTAAGTCCACGCGGCTGCCAAGGTGGGGCCACGGGCGCTCTCGAATTCCCGCACGTTCCCCTCCTGGTCGTTACACGGAGTCACGCAGAGGCAGAGGAGCTGTCCGGGAGACATGCGCGTCCGCGTCGGGTGCAATTCCCGCACGTTTCCCTCCTGGTCGTTACACGAAGTCGCGTCCGCGTCCGCGTCGGGTGCGGTGCCCTACCTGTAAGGCTCACGTGCCGGAGCCTATAAAAGAGCTGGAGGGAGACCAGTGAACTCATCACTCCAGCACAGCGAGCAAGAACTCAAAAAGGAGCAGAGAGAGCACCGAGCAGAGCATAACAGAGGAGGGGAAGAGAGCCAGGCAGCCATGGAAATGGGCGACAGCTTCGAGTACTACTGGGAGACGCAGCGGTACCTGGAGTCAGAAGAGCTCAGGTACGCCCGCGCCGGCCATCCGCCATCGATTCATCCCGCGCGATGCCGCCATTTCTATTGCATTTCGCAGGGAGTCTGATTTGAATGGCGCTTTGGAATTGCCGTTGCTGCTGCTGCAGCATCTACCTGGGCACGCAGGATGACGCCCTGTCCTGCTACGACTCCAGCTCGCCGGACGGCTCCATCTCCAACTCGTCCTGGGCGCCGGCGCCGGCGGGGATGGTGACCACGGCGGCGGCCGGAAATGAGAAGGCCCCCGCCGGCGCGGGAGGAGGTGCGGCGGCGGCGGCCGCCGCCGCGAACAAGAACATCCTCATGGAGCGCGACCGCCGGAGCAAGCTCAACGAGAAGCTCTACGCGCTGCGCAGCGTCGTGCCCAACATCACCAAGGTGAGAGAGTCCGTGCCGCCCGTCGGCATTGCATGCACTGCCGATCAAATCCAGTGAGGAGCCGTACGTCTTGGTTCTGACGGCGGGCGGCGAATTGAACACACTCGATCCTGTTTGCAATGCATTGCAGATGGACAAGGCGTCGATCATCAAGGACGCGATCGAGTACATCGAGCAGCTGCAGGCGGAGGAGCGGCGGATGCTACAGGAGGTGCGCGCGCTCGAGGCCGCCGAGGAGCGTGTCGACTACGAGTACGACGAGGGCGCGCTCCTGCAGGCGGCGGAGCGGGGGAAGAAGAAGATGAAGCGGACGCAGTCCGTGCCTTCCTCCATCGTCCCGGCGCCCGTGGAGGTCCTAGAGCTGCGCGTGTCGGAGGTGGGCGACCGCGTGCTGGTGGTCAACGTGACGTGCGGCAAGGGCCGCGACGCCATGGCCCGCGTGTGCCGCGCCGTCGAGGAGCTCCGGCTCCGCGTCATCGCCTCCAACATCACCTCCGTCGCCGGCTGCCTCATGGACACCATCTTCGTCGAGGTACGTCATTTCGTCGGCACGCAGCATGCAGCAATCGTATTTTGTTTGCCAAGCACAGATTGCTCTGCTTTTCTTGTGGAGTTTTCGTCTTTTCGAATGGTTAGGATGACGTCAGACACCATAGCTTTTGTAGGTTTGACCTTAGAATTTGACTTTTTCACACATTGAATTCTTTTCCTTTTTTATTAGAGAAAGGTCGTCCTGTTCCATTTGCGGCTGTTAAAACGAACGCCACGAACTGAAAAAATCCGCCACGAGTTCCTTTTCGTGATCCACGTCAGATGCGAGTCTGATTGGTGCTTGAGTAGAAAAAACAGAGCGACCATGTGGCTGCTTCACATGCCCATAGCAGGTGGAAAACGATGCGCACGTGCTCGTGACACTCTGCAAGTCTCGCCGTGTCTGTCTCCACCATCCATGAATTAGTAATAATAACACAGCAAATTATTTTCTACATGCCGCGACTGATTCTTGTCCTATGCCAGGCACAACACAAGCTGCACGTGCTCGAATTCTTGCATATGATTAGCATGTGGTTAATTAGCTGAGGTTCTTTTCATGAATAATATGATATGTGGGTGACTGATTGACATCTTAGCATTGATATTTCGCTATTTTTGGATAAAAAGACTTAGTCCAATCGGGTCACTTTGTTTTTTCAGGTGGATTTGGATCAAGCGAATCTTGTTCAAATGAAGCACATGATTGAGGCCGCTCTGACTCAGCTAGATGCCGCCGGGAGTCCGCCAAGTGTGATGAGCTATTAGAATGGGATAAATGGATAATCACGCTGCTGACATGAGCCGGCCTAGCAGTTGTGGTCGACCATGTAGGAGTCAAGTCAACGAATGCGTAACCAATGGTGTTTCGTGTGCTGCTCTTTTTTTCGACGCCCCTTGCGCATTATAGTTATAGGAATTAGGAGGTGGCTGCTTTTCTAGACTCTAGAGGCTGATCAGGGGCTTTGCCATGGGGTTTTATAGAACTTTGACGCAATGAACCGAGATGTGTAAATTTCGAAATAAAGAGCCTATTCATTGGTTGGTTTCTGGGCTAATAAGCTCGACTGGTGCTGGTTGGTTGTGAGAGGAAAACACTGTTGGCTGACTGATAAGCCCTGGCTGAAACCAACAAACGAATAGGCTGAAGAAGTTCATCGACTCTACATGGTTTCTACAAGGAAAGAAAGTCATGGTAAAAAATAGTTTCTATGATTCTTTATTGCAACAAATGAAACATGAACAAGTTGCACGTTCGCGGGGAAAAAAATCGTTGTAACAAATGAAACTATGATTATGGAAAATTACTTTCAAGTTCTGATCCACTGATAACATGTTTCTTTCATGAACCAGCATGTTCTCACACCAAGTCTGAGACCCTATTTAGAACAATAAAATAAGTTGCTAGCTACTAAAAAATATTTTGCTAATCTAAACAACCTAGCTTGTAAATTAGTTTGAACTATTCAACAACCCATCTTATAAAAAGCTATTGCCCGATTCTTAGCTTTATGTTAGAGCAACTCGGGCAATAGCCAATGAAAGCCAATAAAACAGCCCCTACGTTTCATTTGAGAGCTCCCCCACTTTTGAGGGTACTATTTTTATGCTGCACTCTAGCAATGGTCATCAAAATAGAGCCTCCATGTAACACCCTCGGTGTTATGCCCTAAACAAACTACTAAATAATGTCATGAGAATCATGTTTATGTAGTAATGCATGTGATAGAAGGTATTGATAAATTTCTTGTAGCCTAAAATGACCAATGAAAATGTTAAATAGAAATTCCTTCAATAACTCATGTTATGTCAAGTATGGTAAAAAACCAATTTTTATTGAGCAAAAGTATTATAGAACATGTGTGTGACACCTAAATAATGTTTGAAGTACAAACTTTATAGATGACAATGCAACTCTTGCTGTAGAAAAATAATATGACTAGCTAGTATTTCTAATGGCTTGAAAATAGAACTTGAAGTCAAATTCAGCTCAAGACTTTGAAGAAATTTTCAGTTGAAAATAGTGTGACAATGCCATGTTGGTGAATTAATTCTAGAAAATCTAGCTAAAGGTCAATGCTGTGTTTTTGCTCCTTATGGTAGACTGATGTACCCTCGTTAGCATGGTCGAGGTAGTTTAGCTTCAACTGTGTTAGGTTAGTTTTTAGACGCGCTTTAAAATTTATGCACGTCATATGTCTGGCCCGTGCGCGCGATCTCTTCGCGCCGCTGGCCGCGTTCCGTGCGCCGCGGTGCCGAGCCCGGTCGGCCTGTCTGGCCGTGGGTGGCCGTGGCCGGCCCTGGCGGGCCGCCGTCATCGCCCTACAGCGGCTGGCCGCCGCGCTACTGCCCCCGCTGCTGCCCTTCCCGCCTCGCGTTGTGGTGCTATTGTTGTCCTTCTCGCCATCATACGCGTGGGCATGTCCCTACTGTCGGCGCCGTCGTGTCACCATCGCGTCCGTGCTCTCTGCAATCCTGCGCCGCTACCTGGCCCTGTCCGATGGCATTGTCTCTGCCACGTGCACGCTGCCGGCCTGTCCATGCGTGGGGCCAAGCCGACGCCACGGCAGTCGTCGTCTGGCTATCGTGGCGCTTGTCTTGCTGCTCAATTCACCTACCCACCGAGTCATTACCTGCCTCGGCTGTCTTGTAGCGCTGCGATCTCGCCCCCACTGCCCTACCGCTCACGCGCCGTTGTCGCCTTGGCACGCTGCGCCTGGCGCTCTTGCTTGTTTCGTTTCCGACGTTATCCCCTCACTCACCGACGCGCCTCTGTTACCACCTCCACAGTCATGTCCCCACGTGGCTGTGCCCTCATCATGTCTTGGTCGGTCCGCGTTAAGTCGAGGCCGCGGGCCACGATGTTGCAGCGGTAGCGCACCATCCCTTCTAAATCCCCAGCTCGGGCTCCCAGTCCAATTCCTCGTGCCGTGAGTAGTATAGGAAGTTAATTAGTCACCCCATCCTCCTCAAGCCCGGCCAAGCACTACCGACCGACTAATCGGTGTTTTGCTCACCGCCGGCCAGGCGCGCCGCCGAGCCGGTAGATTTGGGGGTAAGGCCCGTAGGAGTGGTAATAGTTCAATTGCTCATAACCCTGAACTCGCCTTGACTCCCTCTATCCGGTGCTCGCACTATTTTGGACAGGGAACTCGTCGGCGACGTGGCGACGCGTCGGTGTCCGGCTTGGGGCGTCGCCGCTGTGCCCGGGTGCACGTGGCTAGACCACCTCAGCTTTTCCTTGCCTCAACTATCATCGTAGCACGAATTCCGATGAGCTACTGGTGCTTATC